TATACCCTATTACTTATTAATTACTATCTTTAATTACTATATTATTAGGATTCTATCTTATCCCTTAATCCTAGTATATTTTTAATAGACTAAGGAGATTAAACTTATTCCCTAGTTTATATATATAATAGATATATAGTTTATATCTTATTCTATTTAGTTTCTAGATTAGTAATATAATATTACTATAGCCTTCTGTAACTACTTACTATCTAATACTTAAATCCTAACTAATTACTATTCCTAGTTTATATAATTCGAATATAATAAAAAGTTCTCTATTTAAGTAGATATACTAAGAAGATCCTAAATCGAATATCTAATCGATACTATTCTAGAGGAGTTATATTAGTTCGTTTACTATTACTATTCTACTAAAGCCCTCTCTATCTTATACTATCGCTATTCCTCTAAAATCGTAGTTTCCTTCGTTAATAGTTACTAATATAGCGATAGTATTAAAGTTTATCTATTATATCTAATTAGTAGGTTTCCCGCTAACTTATTAACTCTTATTTTTATAAAATTAGCTTAATATCTTCTAATATTATAGGCTAGGCTTCGGTTTCTAGTTTTATAGTTATTTATCTACTATTAGATAGAAATAATCTTTTATATTATAACCCTATCTTCTATAGTAGGAATAGTTCCTATTAGTAGTATACTATATCTTATAGTTTCTCTATTCTTTAATATACTTTCTTATATATTTTCTATATAGCGGTATATTAGTTAACTTAGTCTTTTTACTTAAGACTTAGCGGTTATTCTACTATCCCTTTAGTACTTTTATAGCTAATACTAATATACCTCTATTAATATTAAACTCTTTAACCTTATCCTATATCTCTAAGTAATATAGGAAGAAATCTTAGATTATTATTTCTACTATAGGGTCTTTAATTAATTTAAGTTTATTATTTTTAATTTTAATTAAGCTTTAAAGTTCTATAATCTCTTATAGTTAGTTTACTATAATAATAATCGCTTAGTATAGTGGTATAGCGGCTTTTAGATCGTTTACTATCTTAAACTATTATTTTAGTATATTAATAAACTCTATTATTATTAAGAAATCTATTCTCTTTATTCTAATAAATCGAATAATTGTAGTACTTAGGGCTCTGTATTCTTCTTCTTATATATATAGCTTATACTTATATATAAAGTTATCGGTCTATTTTATTCTTTTTCTACTTAATATAATATATTTAGTAATATCTAGGTCGATATATAGTTATAGCTAGGTACTAACTTATATACTCAGTTTTATCTAAGTTTCGGTATTAGTAGTATCTTAGTCTAGTCTCTCGATATTTTTATTAATTAACCGGTATAAACCATAACTTTTAAGAATCTTAGTCACTATTCTAAGCTAATTATTAAAATCTTCTTTTTCCTTTAGTAGTAGTTCTATCTTATATAAGATAAAGCTACTAACGACTAGGAGACCTTTACTCTAGTCTCTAGTTAAGTATAAGGTATCTTCTACCTTATTCTAATCCTTATTTTTTAGTATACTAATCCCTATAAGAGGTTAGTTAGCTGTTTATACTAGTCCTATACCATTTCCTAGATCTACTATTATAGGCGACCTCTTATAGGGTTAGGATTATTATATTATTAAAAATATTGATCTTTTTCTCAATTAGGTAGTAGTATTATTAGATCGATCCGTTTTTATAGGGCCGGCGAATTTTTGATTTATCGTATTATATGTCCTACAGTGGTTTATCCTACCAATTATATTATTTTATCTACTTATAACTCTCTCTACGTAAGTCAGACTTCGTTTGAATTAATAAATAAAGATACCTCTTTACTATAATGATTTTAGCTTGAAAAGCAGGGGTCTTATAACCTGATATGACTACAGTATAGTAATGCAATTGAAGAGGGAGAGAGTTATCAATTCCTAAAGGGCAGAATGCCCAACTATCTAGTTATAGGGGTTGGTGCCTGCCGCACCGGGCTGATGGTCAGGTGACCACCATGTCCAACATCTACCCTTAGGGGCAATCTACCCTTAGGGTAAGTAACCCTTAGGGCCGTCGGCGTAGCGCGTAACGGCTAAGAAAAAATAAAAATTCAACTGAGGGGGTTTCACCTGGGCCCTCGAAATGTTCTTCTGGCGTGGCCAGGACGTGCTACCAGTTGTAAGACTGAGAGCTTAGGGGAAGATAATGATGATGTATTCTCTGCCCGGTTGCCGGGAGCTAAGCTATCTAGATGCTGACTCAGCTTATGCTGAGTCAGCCGAGGGCTACAGAAGGAACGACATTGGCTTCAGGGCATCATGCCAATTTGGTAGTGCAATTGAAGTCCGATATTAGATCGCTTAGGGAATGGGAAGATTGGAAAATTCAGTCCAAGCCTAAAATATCTTCCAAAAAGATCAAAGATCGTGCTGAAATTGTTGAAATCTGTACCAGCTGGATCGATGAGTGGCGTCATCGTCACCCCCAACACAAGAACCCTCCCATTGCTGCTCACTATTTCCTCTTGCTCATCTTTATCATCACGATGATCGCATGGTATAGATAATTACCTCTCTATATTGAAGAGGGGACCCCTGAGGGGCACCAACAGCCCTGTCTGCGAAACAGGTGTGAGAGCAGAGTCGTCACTGGGAGTAGTAGGGTGCTAGAGAGGAGAACACCATGGGGTGACTACTGAGAATGGAAGTGGAAAGGTGTCTGCGTTACTATCTAGTTATGCCTCGGGAGTGCTTTTATGTCATATAGCCACTTAGTCATCCTGCTCTGGAAACCCCCACTGCAATATGTATAATTGTAGTATCCCTAGGTAGCAGCTCTATGAATTTCTTTATTACCAGCGATGTACTCGCTTTTTTTAAACTCAACCTGCTATGAGGATCATATACTATACTAATACATCTTTCAGTACATACGACCATAGGGTGTGGAAAACAGGGCTTCCCGTCCGCTCAGCCGTACTTAAGCCACATATTCTGCACAGTCAATACTCAATTTGGCCCTAGTACCTAAGCGGCACTCTAGGGTGAGTATAGGTGATATAGGTAAGAAGTCTTAAGACTAGGGTGAGAGAGGTGAGAACGGGGTGACAATTCTCACCCTTAGGGTGATAAGGGCTAACTCATTCTAAGCCTATACCGGCCCTAAGAAAAATATATAATACAACCTCTAAGGCTCTTTTCTTAGTCTACTATGATTTTATTTGAACTTCTTTATGACGTATAATATATTCTCTGAATAGAATATCCCGAAATCACTCTAGGAGCGTCTCGTATATGCTATATCACATGGCTTTATATGTGAATATCAAGATAAATAGGAAAAAGAGGGTAATACTATCTGCTACCCTGAGCTAGCGCCTACTATACTAGAGAAATACGATTATATAGTTAGTAACTGGGCCCTATAAGTTTAACCTATATTTTACCGATCTAAGTTCCTAATTATTAGTAGATAGAGGATTTCTTATAATAAGTCTATAGACCTAGATTTTCCTAACCTACCTATTCCGACTCCTAAATGTCTGAAACTTTTCGCAGAGTTTTATATTAAATCCTATAAAAAGATTCTATCTTAAAGAATAGCTTATAGTTACTTTACCAGCTTTACGTTAAAGTAGGAGTATAAAACTTCTCAATCCCTTTCTAAGGAAGTCAAAGATAATGTTCTTAATATAAGGGATAGCAACTATCCTTTTATAGAGCTTACTACTAATAAAAAAAAACAAAAGTTTATTAGAACCGAACTAACAGTGAGATATAAGCTCCCTATAAAGCCTAGAGAGCGCTTCCTAGTTAATAGAAAGGATATAGATTACCTGCTTCGATACCTCTTTATAGATAACTATCACGATTATATATATAAAAGAGTATATATATAGACTGGAAGTTCTCTTTCTTTATTTACTAGCTTAGGTATAAGAGCAGGGGCTATCGTTAAATCAAGTACTTATCATAAGTCAAACGAATGCTTATATTATAGGGTTTGTGTCTTAATGATTATTATCTTTAATTATATTAAAACTAACTCATGATTATTAGTACCTTTCATTTCATCTTAAATAGAGTAAGGTAAAGGGGTATCTAATATATTAGGTAACAATTGATCCTAAATTTATAAAAGGCTGGCGTTATCGCAATAATACTACCCTGTAAGTATATAAGTTAAAATTATTCTATTTAGAACTGGCTAATATAAAGAATTAGCCTAAGGAATTGGTTTAGGGAGCATCTAGTTCTTAGAATGAGTTTTATCTTCTAGGTAATCGTTTATAGGGTAGTAGATGGTGCCTTTAAAGGGCTTACTACTGTAACAGAGGTTCTTACTATAAAGCTACCTAAGGGAAGAGAGTTATAGACTCTAGAATAGAACGAAACTATAAAGGACCTCCTATTCTTTAGAATGGTTGACTCTAAAGGACCTAAATCAACGAAGGTATTAACCTTCTCCTTATTACAGTACAACTTCACTAGCTTAGCCTAGCGCGATGGGTTCAAAGACCAGTTACGTATATATGGAATTCGAGGAGGCGTTATAAATAAGATCGACTGTAAGTATATTTGTGCCGTTAAACCTCAATATTACTAACGATTTTCAGCTAAGGCTTCCTAGGCTACTTGTGGTCAGGCTCTTGATTACTAGAATCATGATACCTTTATAAAATATTAGTCTTCTCTTAAGGCGTTAGATATATAGGCCTTATTCTATGATTTAGAGCCTGACTACGAATGCTATGATATAGAATAAAGTATGTCTTATCACCAAGATTCGAACGTGCTACTCTAACTTAATGTAGCTACGATCACACAATTTATAACTAACGATAAAATTGTTAAGATAAATTAGAGAATTGCTCATATAACCTAGGAGATTGCTGGAAAATTGGAAGAAAATAGGGACCTTATATTTGAACGGGCTCGTCTTTATAATAAGAAAGCAAAACGATTGCTAGCCTAGAAGAAGGATTTTGTTAAAGACTAGTAGGATACTTTATATACTGAGTATATGTCTAGGAACGACTTCTCCGAACGCGACTTAATACCTCTTTTTAACGTCTATAAGAAATATCTACCAGAGCGCTCCTATCTTAGCGAGAACCTATTGAAGAAGGGATCTCTAGATAGTGAACTTAGTCGATAGTGCTTAGAAGATATGGTCACTATTTGTATATTAAGAGAACGTACCGTTTACTATCCCGGTATAGCCCCCGAGGAAGGCTGCTGTCTAATATATAAGAAGTCTATACTAGAGTAAGTCTACCTAAATAGTATTATAGATTAAAAAGGTTGATAAAAAGATAGCGTTCTACTACTAGGGAGAGCCAAGTATATCCTACAGTGTCGAAGAAAATCCTTAAATAGTATATAGTACCAGCAGTACTATAAGAACGAAAGGCGCGCCTATTAACGCGTACCTCGCAGCTTTGTTTAATTTTACTATCTTTACGCTAAAATCTTCCTTAACAAAGACTCCTGGAAGAATCATTGCGAATACTATCTCGATAGCCTTAAGCCTCAATGTAGTCTCCTGACCTTCCGTTCTATACTTATTGCCCCAGGTTTCTATCCATTCTATTTAGGCGATAAAAGCAAGAAACCCGACGAGAGATTTTAACAATAGGTTACAAAATCGACTCTTTTAAATCATATTGACGAATACTTAGGGTCAGCGGACTCTTTAACCGCAGTCTTCTGCCCTTATCCATACTGTAAAGAAAGGAAGTATGTTGACAACTTACATCTCCGGTGGCACTTCTTTGATGTACATTCAATCGAAGAGCCCCGCTCCAATTGTGTTAAACGAAAAAGGAAGTGGCAGCTTCAGCCAGAGTCTACGGGAACTACTTTCGAGAACTTGAGTGATGGAAAATTACCGAGCCTAGAGGATCATTTTTCCCCTACTCTGTCAACTACTTTTGAAGAACCGGATATGAGCTCTATAGATGATCTCTCTATGGACTTGAGCGATGAAACATTGCCGGGCCTAGAGGATCATTTTCCCCCTACTCTGTCAACTACTTTTGAAGAACCGGATATGAGCTCTATAGATGATCTCTTTATGGAGTTCATACGTTTTAGTGACAACTCTTACTGACCAGGTGACATCGTATCGTTGATACTGAAGTTGCTTGATGTCAGACTCTTCATCATCCCTGGATATTTCTTACACGATTATATGGTGGTAGATTGACTGCATATTGGTTGGTCAGAGACTTGAATGTTAAAACTTATCTTTCTTCACGTGATATATTTTCCTTAGCAAGCCCTATGTCTGTGGTCAAGAATAGGGGTGATTATAGTTTGGCTTCCTTGAGGTAAAAATAAAAATTACGGTGTAGAGTATCCCCGACCTGAATGGAGACACAACTTCCTTTATTATAGCTTCAATATCTGAAAGCTAACCAACGCTAAAATGACAGCGGAAAATCTTGCGACTATAAGGCTCTGCATCTTGGCCGAGATACCCTTAGAAAAAGATCACAGCACCTAATATCAAGGCTATCAGCACTCTAGACATATATCCCCTCAACATGACTCCATATGTATGTTTGTAGCTCACCGGCACACCATGCGGCGATTCTGGGGAGCCTTTTGGTGCTTTTTTAAATGTTTGGCATATTTTAGATAGAAGAGGGCTAAGTGCCAAAGCTGGCTAGCATTTTTCGAGTAATGATTCGCCTAGGCCATCAAAAACAACCATATCGATGGTCTACACCAATTACGCACATACACATTTACGAGCTGGGTTTTATAAAGCAAGCTCACTAGGCCCAAAAATATCATTTATAGAACAGCAAAATATAAGGTGGTCTCTTTCGCATTCGCGCTGGTGGTATGGAAAACCCCGTAGGAAAAAACCATACCCAAAGAGATCTAAATGCTATCGGACTTTATCTGTCACTATAGAAAAGAAAGAGGGAGTAATCGCTCAATCTAAGAACGGGAGACATGAATAATAGTCAGATGGCTGAGCCCATTTGTATAGTCCCTAATGATTCTTTTATTCGGACGTAGTGCAGCTAGAGACCTGAATATGACTCGTGGGTGATGGAGAAGATGTCGATTCCGAAGATTTTGATGATTCTGATGAAGACGATGTCAAGGAAGATGATTCCGATACCGATGGTCCCGATGCCGATAGAGATGATGTCAAGAAAGATGATTCCGATACCGATGATTCCGATACCGATGATTCCGATGCTGATGGAGATGATGTCGACAAAGATGATCCCGACGCTGATAGAGATAATGTTGAGGAAGATGATTCCGACACCGATGATTCCGATGCCAATGATTCCGATGCCGATGGAGACGATGCTGATGGAGACGATGTCGACAAAGATGACCCCGATGCCGATAGAGACGATGTCGAGGAAGATGATGTTGATGATGCCGATGAATATGTGTTGGAAGCAATACACGAGCTGCCAACCTTCAATCCGTTCTCCAATGTACATCCTGATTCGTCTCCCTTTCGGTTGAAAATGTTAACAACCCCGTCCTTGTTTACCTCAATCCATGCAACAGGCAGGTCATTTATTTTGCCACAAGTATCCACGTATAATCTAGAGTAACCCGTTCGTGTACCATGTGCAACCTTGCTTATATCTAGGACTTCGTTAATGCCAATCGTATATCTGTGGATTATCATTCACCTGCACAGCTATCTCCATCAAGGAGACCAAAAGATGCCGAGTATCCCGTACAACCATGGTTATCATCGGACCATATCACGCATTCACGGTTATAATCGAGAACTTTGAGAGCGCCACCTAAGGCGACACGTATGTAGATGCTAGCGAGAAGCAGGAAGGTAGAGAAGGTCATGTTTTTAACCTTCAGAAGAATTGAAGAAGAATATGCAGATACAAAGTGTGTAGTATCTCCGGACTTAAGGTAGGATAGGATGGAAAGGCACGAGTTTGTGCGCCAGATCGGCGAATTTAATTGCCCATAAGTCTCTAGATGTGGCAATAAGCCCGCAACCCTACGACACGCTTTGGGACACGCTTTGGGACACGCTTTGCGACACGCTTTTCGACACACTTTGCGACACGCTCTTTGGATCGAGGTGCCACTAATTCCTGGACTTGATTTTGACTCCTAGGCCAGCTTCCCTCTCGACCCCCCTGATATGGCTTTGTCTAGTACGGACAGATTTGTGGAGTCGTGGCACCCACCAATATGTACCTTTTAGTGGCGGCATCATGGTGCCCGGGTGGATTAGTGTTACTGCTCTAGCTATCAAATGAAGCTTAAGTAACGGCGCTGCCCCATAGTTAGCTTGCTCGTGGCGTTTGATAATCCTTCAGCCTGATATCAACAGGATCCAAATCTATAAAAGCAAGGTATCTTGGGCATTAATTGGACGTAAGTCTTTACATTATCTAGCAAACATTATATATACTGACACTTCCTAGAATGAAAGGAACTGTCTCCTGGGTTTGCGTATCTTGCCATGCCAGCGATTCACATCGCATGAATATCAAGTTTACGGCACATGAGCCCGGATCCTATCTTGTTTGCGTTTGGTCCTATTTACTACCTGCTAAGCGGCGCATCAACATCAATACATTATGCGCGAATTGCTTGAAGGAAACCAACCTTCTGTCATCGAAGGAACAGCGGGCGTTTATCCACAAGAAGATGGATCAAATCATGTTTGAAAGAACCGTTGCTTGGGCAAAGCAGGAGTGGGATTTTTGGGTGACGCGTCGCGAATGTCAACGCATCAACGAATCTGTGCAGCAGGATGAGGGGTTGCATGTTCATCTCATTGGGGGTGTTTGTATATTTTAGACCTCTCGGAGTTGAATCCCTAGTTTATAAAACGGGGCGGATCCCTTACAATGCTATTGCTTAGTGAAATTCAATTAGATCTAAAACTTTTTGACTTACAATATCGGGTGTCACCCCACGTGGAGACCAAACAGTTCGTCACCGTCCTACACGCTTGTCATATCCCGACTCGAGACACACATTGTTTCTGTTGTTAGAATAATGGACTCGGCATACCGGAGGATTGATTTATCCTTCATGTTTTGTAATTTATGTTATGTAATCACTGGACCCGGCCATGATTGACGTGATGATTGGCTTTTCGCGACGTTTTGAGGAAATATGAGGCTGTTCGCGGGGTTGCTTGAGAGATTGGAGTTGGTCTGAGGAAGCAGCAGTCCCCTCGCTTTTAAACTCGGTCGCCTCACCTTGCATATAGACTCATAATGAGATCTTTTCGGCCGAAAAGAACCCATCTGCTAGTATAGAGAGCGTCATTCTTTCAGTGAGTAAACGTAGTTCCTTAGCATCACTTCCGCACACTTCTTTCACCTTTGCCTACTTCTTTCTTCTGGTGTCACCTCTCATCAACTTAACTTCTTTCTCTTCCAAGCATCTCTTTGCATCCACCAATCCTCTTAAGCGTCTTTCTCACCTACTATATCCTCTGCTAGCAGCTCCCTCTCTTTCAGCTTCTGTCCTGCATTGCTCCGCCACGCTCATTCACAAGGTTTGTGGACTCGCCTGTTCTTTCACCTGTCTCGCCCATACATACCCGCTGCCTCAAAAGGCTCTTTGTCTCTCTTGCGCCCGACCACGCCTCAGACTAACTCACTTATTTATCTCAGATCAAGCAGCATGTCCGAGCAACAGATCGTCCCTCATAGCGCCGGCAGGCAGCTACCCCGTCCTCAGTTCTCAGTCGCAGTATCCCAGATCCTGGCTTGTCTAACTTGCATCCAAGCCAACGTCGCTGACTGGATCCGCACTGGGACCCAGTATGGATTTGGTCCCCGCTTTACGTTCCGTTGTCTTCAGGACTCCGGAGAGTCAAATGATTGCCAGCGTTGTCATCAAACCGGGACCGCCTGCGAGCGGGTAAAATAGCCCTTTCTCCCCCCCCCCCCCCCCCCCTTCTTTTCTTTTATATTTCCATTTGCTGACTTCCAGTTCCTTTCGTTAGGTTCCCACCGGTATCGAGGGGCACCTTTATGAACTCCTCGCCTTAATCGCCTGGTTGAACTTGATGTGGGGATCTTACGATCCCACTAACGCGTTTTCTGACGCGTTCGTCCCGACTTGGCTGCTTCCCTCCCCTTTTCTTGCCGAGCTAGGAGATGAGATTAGACGGCTCTGCTCTTCCTTCCGGCTTCTCGCGCGAAACCACATCTTCGAGCATGGTATCCACCCTGGCTGCTCAGTATGGTCCCCTATGTTAAGCCTTCCTTTTTAGCTTCTTGCTTGCTAACTCCTGGTTTCTTATGCTAGCGTTCTCGCCGTACTAGGTACCGGAACTGGCTCCTGCACCGTCAACCCCTCCCGTCAAGTGTCGAACTGGACGGCTCTCCCGAGGCTTTTGCAGAATTTTCAATGTCCAAGCACAAGTCCACGGGCACTGAAGATCATGTCTATCACTGGTACGGGGCCGTTGTGAGCTTCCGTCGGAGGGTAATTGAAATCGTCGACGAGGGTACACTATACTCTGCTCATGAAGCAGAGTATGCGGACCGGCTTAACCGGTTTCCAGCTCAGATCCTGCCCGTGGAGCTCCGGGGCCTTGGTCTCCGCTCCTCCCGGTCCGCTCACTAAATAGCTGCTGGTTTATCGGCGGGTGCTAGCTTGGTAGTGTGCTGATTCATTGGTTTCGTGGTTTGAAAGGCGATGCCATGGGGCAGATAAGATGATTTCAATGGGGCATAAAATGCACCTCCGGGTCAAATCACCCTCGATGTGATGCCCCTTGCTCATATTTTTCTTGACGTTTCTTGACGTAGTCCCCCACCCCACTCCAGAATTATTTCTTTTCGCCCTCGGCAAAGCTAGCATGTAGTAAAAGCATGTTGTGGTAGGCAAATCGTGCCTATATCACAACAAGCTAAGCCCGAAAGTCAACCTCGGCGGCGAGATCGAGCACCTTGCTAAGCCGTAGCTTGTATCATGAACCAAGCATATCCCAAAATCAACATCATAAATCAGCAAACCACAAGCAAGCATGTATCAAAATCAGGACACGAGTTCATAAGCAAGCATATCTTAAGGTCAAAAACCAATATCATCACCAAGCACACACAGATCACCGCTCGAGTCCATAAACAATCGCGTATCGAAGTCAAAAACGCCTATCAACATCAAATATCAAGGTCCACATCGGACCTATAAACAAGCGTATATCACAGTCAAAATCAAAAATCAACAAGACAATAAATCAACTCGTAAGGCAGGCGAAATATGACAACGCAAAAACAACATCAAAAACTCGCAATATCAATCAATAGATAGTCTCCTCCTTCTCTCTCCTTCTCTCTCTCCCCTCCTTGTCCAATATTATCCATTCATCTGCATACATACTGTTTACACACGTGTTGTATTAGTTTCTGACCATTGGACTACCGATCATCGATCATGACGCATACATGCAAGTCAGGGATAATATCCATTTGAACCAACGTTTCGTTTCCCCCCAATTTAGAGACTTGTCCAGATCCAGGAAAATTGGGGTTTCTCTATATTAATGAATTTATTTCTTAGTTTCTGGACAGAAGATATACTATGTACATACCATCGAATACAATAGGTCAAATACCTAATTTACAGCTCAAGCTTAGTATAGACTAGTACAGCCCTGAGAAAGAGCGAAAAGAGTGTAAATCTTTTAGAACCCGAACTTGTCAGCTACTGTACCCGTCAAATGCACAGCTCAGATTCAATGCACGGCTCACAGTCCTATGACAGAATTCATGGAGCTAATCTCATTCAGGGCAAGATTCGGGTGTTTTTGTCTTTCTTTCATATACCTGTTCTCCAGATGGCTCCCTTGTTCGGAAAACCGGCCCAAGGGACCTCAGTTAAAGAAGAATTTAGCATAAGAATCCGCCTATAGGTCCAAATTGGTAAATTGATTAATATATCTCTTCAGATGTCCTATCCTTCTGACGCTTCCCAGGTCTATTGGCTGTAGAATCAGCCTTTCTCTTTCCTGTGTGAACATCATAATTCAAAACGTAATGTCGAAGTTTATCCATTGAAAATATTCCTTCCTGCTGTTTTTCATGACTTGGATTGTCTCGTTTTCCGACCAGTATTAACCGTTCTTTCAAACCTTCTTCAAACACCTTGTTCACATCCGGGGTTCCTAGCCCATACTCATTAATCACCGCAAAAATATGGTTCTTTGCAAGATCTTGCAAGGTTGCTCGCAGATTGTATCCGCCAGTCAAGGGGAATTTGTAGTAAATTCGTGGTTCGAATAGGTAGATAACAATCACTTCTCGATATGATTTAAACCACGTTGAAAGTATCTTAGCAAACTTCTGATGAAGGGTTACGAAATTTTTCTTTTCTATTGGTTGAGATGTTTCCTCAAAACCGGCCGCCAATGGTGGAAAATCATGGTCGGGAGTTCTAGGTGGGTGTGGGTCCATTTCTACCGGCTCGCTTATACTCTCTTCTTCAATCGCATCTGGTCTGGAGTTCGCAGATAGCTGGGGGGCTTCTTTAGAAGGCGGCGAGTTTATAGGTTGAACTGTTGGACGCTCTTCTTCAAAATCCATATCTGTTTCGATAGATTTAGGCGCGG